TGTCCTTGATGCGTGCCGATGGTGTGGAGGCGGCTGGCACCAGAACAGCCCAAGAGAAGGAATGAGAGGCCAATGGAGATTTATGTGAGGAGAGTGAGATGGACAAGGTAAAATTGTCAGGAGGAGTTGTTAGAAAGTAAAATATATTGTGACAATTCCACTCCTGCCGTTCATCAATAAACTGACAGATCATTTAGTGTCAATTAGGAGTGATAGATGGACAAGTCCCCATGATCCTGGGCCAAAATTAATGGCTGGGAGGGAGAGGGTGATTGAAAATGACGGCTGACATTGAGAGGAAAGTCCTGAAGGTCCCCAAGGGGCCATTACTTGCCTCATTCCCTTGCAGATCAATGCAGGGACAAACCCAAAAACAGACACTTCAAGACAAAACTTAATCAGACTTCCTTTTCTTTCGTCTCCTTCTAAGTTGTGCCCCCTCACTTGGTAGCCTCAAGCCTTTGTACCTCCACTGTTCTCATCTCTGAGGACATCCACAGATGGCTGCAGGATGCAGAGGGAAGCTGCTGTCTTCCCCACAGCCTGAAGCATGGCTCTGCTCCCAACATGGCAGCGTCACAAGGAAGCCCAGCCTGAGATTTATCTCAACATTGCTGGACTGGGAGTAGAGGGCAGACACAATGACATGAGCTTTCCCCTGCCACACCAGATAAGAGAAACTCATGAGCACTTTACTACTCCCACTTGCAAGCCAGGGATGGCCAGAGGTTCTATAAACCAGACACTCTTGAGGATCGTTTCATATAGATACGACACAGGATAGTTTAAGCCCATCTTTTTGAAACAGGAGGTTTTTAACTTTAGCTACCTCTAGAGACCCTGAATCATAAAAAACCTTAATCTCTTAAATAACTTTCCTCCAGCTCCAGGGTGCAATCTCACCATTGCCCACCCTCCAGAGCCCTAAATTATGTCTACACATTGCTTGGGTTACCAAAGCTGTTCCGCTCTAAAGGTCACCCCAACTGCATCCATTTCCTTCTGACAGGCCCTTGACATCCCGTGAAATGCATTCCTGGACACTGTACCAACACGTGTTCCAAAATGTTCTGGTTATTCTCCTAAACAAGCCTTTATTATTCCAACTCGGTATGACCTACCCCTCAGAAAGGAGGAGAGATTTCAGCTGTGGCTGGAGCACCTGTTGCTAAAATGCCAGGATTCCTATAGAAGAAAGGAGACACGTGCAGGCGCTACAAGGGATTTCCTCCTGAAAGCAGCACTTGCTTTTTGCTTGGAGGACCCATCTGAAACGAGCTGTGTTTATTCCACAACAACCCCAGCTGCAGCCTAGAGAACTGCATGAAATTTAAGGGGCTCACCACAGGGAGGTTTCAAGACCAAAGGGAACAAGGACCCAGGTAAACTGCAAGTGTCCCTAGAAGAAAAGAGAGAAAAGAAAAAAAAAAAAAAAATAAAGAAACATACTAACAGGGACAAAAAATGGAAGAAATTCTATAAGGATAATGAGCTATAAGTAGTTAAATAGATGAGATCAGCACCGGCTGGAATTAAACGGATCTTGGAAGCACCTCTCCTTTGTCAAATTCTCACCAGTGTGCAAAACTGAGTTCCCCTTTCCTTTTCCCATTGGCAGGCACTTTGTGTTTCTTCCTTCTGATGCAGGAGATAACTCGACAATAAAACCTCTGCTTTGCTTGTCACAAGTGTCAACACTGATGTCATTAAGGACATCAGCACAGCCTTCAGAATGGCACTTGGGCTCCATCCAGTGGTTGGAGAGCTGCTTCTCTAGAAAAAATCTGATGTAATTACTGTTATTTATATAATCTCAGCAGGGTACTAGGACCCAAGTGGCTGCCTAGGTTCTTGGCTGGTCCCCCTTCCTGTAACACTGCAGCTACAATATTGCTGGGGCAGCCAGGGGACTGCCTGGTCTCACAGAGAGCTGTTCTCTCTCTGTACAAATTGAAGTAAATCCAGCAGATTCAGTTTCAGAGGGCCCTGTCAGTAAGGAAAAGAAGATGCTTCTGTCACTACTTTGCACCATTTATTTGCTGATAGCAGAGGCCAAGTCTGAGGGTTTGCTCAGACACTTATCTGCAGTGCTCACTATTCCCCATATTTACAAAACTGAACTCCTAGTAATGACAGATGTTTTACAGAGGTACTGGAAATCCAAAGAAATCTCTACATGCCTGACTTTTGAAAACTTATCAAAAAAAAAAAGAAAAAGACATCATTTCAATAATTTGATAGTTCTTGGGAGTTTAAATTTCTGACACTATGCTATGGAGACTTGTGATAAAATTACCTTATCTTACTTGCCTACAATCTGTGCAAATTAATTTTAAAACCAGTTACAGGCTGGAAAACTTTGAGGGGTCTCCTCCTCTTCTTATCTTGCAATAGTCTGAGACAGCACTGGTCTGATGGAAGGAACAAGTAGGATGGTGAGAATATTTGCAGGTTTACCGAGGTATGACAAGATCTGGGCAAGTAAGGGACTAGGAGGAAGCAGCAAAGGTAGAAAAAAAAAACAAAAAAAAAAAAAAAAAACAGAAAACCACATTGCAAATTAAATTATACTCTAACACGTCCCAAATGGAAATAAAAAGAACAATTTCAAGTCATCATCTCACACTGATAAGACTTTGAACTAGAAATATAGCAGAAAAGAATTTAAGTATCCCTGCTGGGAAAGCAACAAGTATGCAGTTGCAACTGGCTGAATCTGTCAGAAACAGAACTAAAAGCTTAGACCTCAAATAGAGAAGAGAACACACAGACAGTGACAAGACTGCTTCACAGGTGGCTGCAGCATCCCATCTGGCCCACAGCATATTCACACACCACAGAAAATCTAACTGCAGCCACTCTGCTCACCCTTTCTAAGCAAAAGATCACAGATTTCAATACTGGCAGTTCAAAATTACTTAGAGAAAATTACTGAAAGCAGTACACTGCCCAAGCGTAGGCTCAGTTACACTGCCACAGGAGTCCTTACAGCTGCATCAGACGTATCAAAAGAAGCACGGTATTTTAGTGTGATTGCTTCTCTCATAGTGAAATTGGAGCAAGTCAGCTTGATGGGCTTCCAAACTGAGTCAGATTGGTAGAAAGCTGTGGGGAGATAAAGCCTGAGAAAACAGAAACAAGAAAGCTGCAGCAACATTGGTATGACATCAGCCGATGACTCAGACTTTTCACATGAAGGTTTTTACTCTGGGATATGTCACAAAGACAGCCTCACAGGCCAGCAGCTGAGACTTTTCTGAGGAAGAGGAGAGAGGGAAGAGATCACCCTGTTGAGAATCTGCCACTGAAGGAAAGAACTGAGAGGGAAGCGGTTGTACAAAAGTCTCGTCCCTCCTATGCCTAAAGAAAGTCAGAACAAGACTTGCCATCATAAAATGCATTCCATAAAAGCTCTTAATACAAAGGAAGAGAATGCTGTCAGATAAAGCATGAATTCATGTATGCATGAATGAGCAAGGGGCACGTCTTCATCTCACATCCCACTGGGCAGGGTCATACAGGTAGAAAGGTCTGCAGCCCCTAGCTCCTGTTCTGCTTCTTCAGCTGAATCGTGTCCAGCCTCGTAGGAGCGCTTACTCCACGCACCTGCTGTATCTATAAACCATGCAATTGGGATGCCAGAGAAGTATCACTGACAGCTACTGCAATCTATCAGATGAGGCTGAAGTTAAACCATGGAAAACATCCTAGAGGAGCACACAGCACAGTGCCATTACATTAGGAACCCACACACTGTCCTTCAGGGCACATTAGGCTCAGTCCTGAATAAGTGTATTAGCTCCTATCCAGTCCCTCACGTAGCCACCAATTACATGATTTATTTTTCCTAAGCAATGCAATTCACCCTTGTTCTCTGCTATCACATTTCCATAAAGCTTCTACTTGGTTCTACAAAGAGCTGATTTATTCTTCAGAGACAAACAAAGAGCGATAATTTTCCCAGAAAAGTACTGTTTTTCAGAATATCGACCACCTTTCTCACCTCCTAAGAAATACTGGCTATGTAACAGGTCTCTGGCTGTCCTGTCCCATTCTCAGGGTTCCAGGAAAGAAAATATATAACTTTTCCAGAAATCTGAGTGCCTCCAAAGCACATGTTCAGACATACACACTCTTATTATAGGCTTTACTGTATACAAGCAATCTCACACCACTCCGTGGCAGAGGCCTTCAGTTCAGTGAACAGAAAATATAACACCAGTGTAACTTTACAGCTTGAAAAATAATGAATAGATTGAAATCTCCTCCTGGTCCGAACTATCTTTTGGTTTTGATATTAGCATAGCTGAATATTTCCTTTCTATTAGTTGTCCTTCATAAGCATCAGGCTTCTCAGCATACATTATACAATTTGTACAGTTTTATTCTTCCATTTCTTCTCTCTGACCATCTCCATCCATCTCCATTATAGCAGAACCCCATACACACATACACATTGACAAATTTGACCTTTGCTGTCAAGGCTAATCACTAAATCCCGAACTGTTCATTGCACACTTGTCAGTGGGACACTGTCATGTGTCACTCTTCTGGAAAGGACGCAGGCAGTCAAATCCCACCCCACCAGCTCCTGTATTTAACATGCTTGTTTTGTTCTTGGGCTCCTTCCAGTTACTATACCAGGTGAGGACCACACCGCCTCCCACAGACAGAGATGTGTACACACTTCTGAGCCCAGGCAGAAGCGTCAATTTATAAATTTAATAAAATATAAACATTTGCTAGTGGAGCCATGCAAGAGCAACACTTCAAATGCTTTCAAGGAGTTACAAGGATAGTGGAGATACAGCCCATCTACAAGACTCAGATTTTTTTTTTCCAATGCCTGTGGCAGCAAAGCGCAACCAGTGATGTTCAGTTAATCCACACCTAAGCTCTTAATAAAAAAAAGAGGTGAGTACTCACTTGGTAGGTGCCAGCACAGGATCATCTGCCCAGCCTCCTTGCCGGCGTGGGGGCTTAGGTGGTGGATCCTTTAGTAAAGAGAAGAGACATGTTATAGCCAGCTCCAGTCAAGCCAAAGTCAAGGCATTTCTGACACCAGGTTCACACATACTAAAGTAACAACTACTCAAACAGAGAGAGAGTGTTTAAGATGCTGTTTAATCATAAATAGAAGGAAGAGAAATATTGCAGGACAGTTTTTTAAGTGTCTTTGTAAGCAAAAGATGTACCACTCTAGTCAACATCTTGACAAGCTGCAGGTCTGGGTGCCTTTGACCTACCCAAAGCACAAAGGAGATTAGATCCACAGAGGATGTGCTGTTCAAGGCATGTTTCACGGGAACACCTTCATTACCTATACTCACATTTTGGCTGGGAGCATCACATTTTACATGTTTGCTAAGACACAGGTCAGTCAGCACACATTTTAGACAACTCATTTTAGATGAGGAATTGTTCCCTTAAAGTGTCTGCTTTTCTCTACTGGCTAGAATAGGAAGTTAGATGACAAGTTCAGATACAGACAGACACACCACAGACCTCTAAAATTAGAGGAGATGAACCCCACCACCACCAGCACTTCTGAAATGCTAAAGGGAAAGTTCATTTGGAGCTTAAAGACACTCCCTGCTAAGTTCTTGCACTGTATTGCGTGCCACTCCGCCGCATGGCAAGAGAAGACAAGCCTTCAGCTTGGGGCTTACGATGGGAATTTTCAAAGACTGGGCACTCCGTGTGGGATCTGCCCAGCGTCCTCTGCACTTTGGGGCTCAGCCCCCTGCCTGAAGCACCTCGTACAGCAGCGGCTTCAGTGTTTTGCATGGCAGGCAGTGGTGAAAGCAGAGGAGCAAGGTGAACCCAGGGGGTGAACTCAAGTTTACGTAGCTCCCACTTGATGGTGCCCAGGTGGATGGACCTGTGAAAGGACCACTGGAAGAAGGGATAATTGGGTAAAGTGATGTCTGAAAGAGAGGAAAACACGGTCAATGCAAAGGTGTCTGCGCTAGAGCAACAGAGAGGGAACATGTGGCTCCCACAGCTTTTAAGAAAGGGAACGGACTGGGTGACTCCTGAGGATTTCTGACTTGACAGAGGGGAGCTTGCATGTGTGGTGGGGTCAGCCCCGAGCCAAAGCCGAATTGTCTCTTGCCACAGATGAGGAAGGGGCTGAGCTAACCCCTGATGGTAGGGGTCTCCCGTGTTTATTTCTTGAAGCAGAAGCATTGTTTGCGAGTGTGGGAAATGAAGAGAGCCTGCCAGGGGCAGCCGCTGCCTGCTGCAGGGAGGGGGCACGACCCCGCATAGCTCCCTGATAGGAGCAAAAATAGTCATTCTCCAAAAATAAACAGAGAGCAGGAATGAGGCAGGAGCCGCAGTCCCAAAATACCAGCTTTCTTCGGCAAAGGGAGCACAGGAGGGCAGAGGGACAGGCAGGGAGCGTGAAACGCAGGAAACAGGCTCCTTATATGGGCTCATCCGCAGGGGACAGAGCTCAGCCGACTGGAATGGCCATGTCACAGAATGTGAAGCCTTCGGGGGCCCAAGTGAATGGAGTTTTCTGATCTTTAAATGATTCCCCCAGATTCTTAAGATGCCAAACCAGAGAAGAGGCTGCAGTGCCAAAAAAGGAGCATTTTGAATTCGGTTGATCTGGACACACCCAGAGCCCAGGAAAAAGGGGAAAAACACACCACATATGGGCGTGCGTGCCCACATAAACATCCCTATTCCCATTACACACGCCCCTACCTCAAAAACACACTCCCTCCCACGCCGATCCTTCCCATGCAAACAACCCTTCTCCCTCCTCCCCGCATGCCATCCCCCGATCGGCAGCAGCCTACGTTCCCTTACAACTCCTCGCAAAATCACACCGAGGGACACACGTGCCACCAAAGAGCTTGGACAGAAGGCTGAGGGAAAACAGCACCTCCAGACCATCCCCGTGTACTTACAATTTCAAAAACCCCATCCCCAAAACTAATCTTTAACTCCAAGATAAGTCAAGCTGGGCACTCCAGATGAAAGGGTGCTGAGAATGACTTCCGAGTGCTTGCACAGGACATGACTCCGATGTGATTAGGGGCTTGATTCCAACGTCTTCCCAATTTTATAGTGTTTTCCCATTGATCATACGCATCAGGCAACCGTGAATGTCTGTCAGACCCTGACAAACAGCTCACATATACCTACAGGCCTTTTATTCCTCTTGCAATAAATCAGGCAATTCTTTTTGAACTGCCCACAGGAGCACTAGCAACAGGAAAGGCAATGTTAACTGTCAGCTGAGGATAAATAGTTTTTCTTCGTCGGTTGCCTGTGAAGTGCCATAATAAGGTCACACGCCACATGCACTTTTGTCAAGTAAATAAACTTACCTTCGTATGCCTTCCCATTTCTAAAATGTAATTTACAATTGAGAATGCAACGTCGTGCATGGCGATAATATGGTCATGGCTAGGGACCTTGCAGCTGCAAGCAAGAGCTTGAGGCAGAAAGTGAGAATAATGTCAAGCCCTGAGGGAGCAGGGCAGAAATGGTGGATGTGGTTCTTCTGTAATGGAGCAAATGAGCTCCTGAACACGCCTTTCTGATGAAAAAAGACAGTGGGCTTTAAATGATTAGCACCTGTTGGTACTACGTGCTGTATCTTGGGCAAATTTTATTATACAAAGCTATGAACCCAAGGTGATTTAGCATTCAAATCACTGAGACTCCACCAGCTCCTGACAAGTGTCCTCTCTCATGTCCTCTCTCAACCACACCACTAACTAACCACTTGTTTGTTGCCATGGTCTTGTTTTATTTCTCCTCAGAAATTCAGTTCAGTGCCATTTTCATGAAGGCAGGATTTCCCAAGCCTTCTTCCCAATACTTTCATACTACCACCGTAATCAGGGTTTTATCTCTGCCTTTGAAAAATGACTGGCCTCACTCGGTGAGCCTGAATTCCATCTCTCTTGCATTAATGCAGAAACGCTACCTCCTTCTTTATCTGTAGTCAGGCCCCTTCTTATCAGACAGGTGTTCGATTCTAATTTGGCTTCCTCATTAAGACAGAAATTTCCAACGTACTTGTCAGATCATGTCTGCTGTTTTGAAGGTGCTAGTTGGGTATCGCTTCCCTCATGGAAGCAACAAACCTGTGTCTCTGTGGGTCCTGAGGATCCAGCAAAGTTTCTGTTCAGACCCACCACAATGCAGGCAGATTACGGACACGTTGGGTCCCTCAGATTCTCGGGAGGGTCTGGAAATGTGAATTAATTTACCTTCATCAACATGACAACTCCTCTGAAACAGCCAGCACCCTGTGCAGGGAGGCAGGGACTCAAATGACATTGACGGTATGCAACAGAGGACATACGATCTTTCCGTCATGCTGTACAGCTCCTTAAAATGTGTGGGATCTGTGTTCTGCCCCTATGAAAACACGGTGAGATTTGTACATGATTTGTGTCCTATTTTCACCTACTAATGACCACGGAGCAGAAAGAAAGGCGTTATGTCCAGACTAGAGCTTCCTTTACTCCAGCAGGTTGCCAGAGTTTCCCCTGACTGAGGAAAAGCAAACGTTCAAAAACAAGCCTGATTAATTAGTTTTGACTGTTGCCAGTTAAGGAGCTGTAAGTCAAATAGCTTCTAAGTAGCTACATAACACTCACAATCCACACAGATCTCAGAGCACAAATGATATCAAAAAGGGTTTAATTCCCAGATCTAGGCAAGCCTAGTTTTTTTTTGCAAAGAGCAGCCCATCTCTGCTAGCCCTCTTTATCACATCCACAGACAGCAGAAATAACACATCTGATTGTGATGAATCCCCTCTAAGGACTTCTGCATGTCTTAAATGCCTAGTAGAAAACACTAGATTTTCATTTCTTCCACGATGTGTCATTCTTCATAGTCACTGACCTTCCTTTATAAGGGAAACTGCTACTGAGATGGAAACGGTTCTTGGGGGGCTTCAAATATTCTTCATCATCCACCACAACAGGTAAAGGGAAGCTCATATTGTTAAACATCTGTCAAGAATTTCTTCCCTAAAACAACGGTCAGCTAACTAGTCCCTTTACATGTGTATCTGCTAAGAAGTTGTCATATTGCAGCATTCGACACCTTAACCTGCCTCAAGAGTCATTGCTCTTTCCTGCATGAAACCACCACAGCGTCACACCACAATCTGATTCTGTGATGGGGATCTCCAGGTGGAAATCCCTCACAACCCACAGTTACAGGGCTATGCCCCTTCTGTCCCCCCTAGACACAAACATCTCTCATCCAATTTTCTCCTACCTCGTGCTACCTACTATCAGAAGCGTTCCCATGCATCTACACCACTCCTTTTGTCTTTTGCTTCCTTCAGGTGGGTCTGGGAGAACTCAAACCATGACACAAATGTGTGGAAAGAAAATAAAAAGCTTTCCATAAAATTATTTCCTATGCGATTGTCAGGGTATGCCCCTAATCCACATCAAGGTAGCCAAGCAGGAAGGACACGACTAGAAAGGCTGGGAAACACGGCTGACCAGAAATGCTATTTCAGTAGATGTCATCAGAAGGGTAGCAGATAACCTCAGCAAGCTGAAAATAACTGCCCTGCCGGCCAGCCGCTTGGGGTGCACGGGAGAGAGGCAGCGCGAGGCCTTGGGGAGCTCCGGGCCACACAGTGCTGGGGCTCACACTGGGGAAGTTGGCCTAATTAGGGAACAAAAGTTCAGCTGCATTTTTGAGATTCCTCCTGGAGAATCTGGCCAACTTCCAGCGGAGCGGTCCCCGGGAACAGGCTCGGAGTCCGGCATTTCTACAAGCAACCAGAAGACCACTGGAAAAAAAATAAAATAAAAAAAGGAAAAGAAAAGACGCAATCCCTATATAAAGGAAGCAGGTAAAAAAGCCAATGCATGCTTGGATGCCGGTTCCCATCAGTGGAGGGTGTTTAGCAACAAAATCCAAACAGGGGACAGAGACTCTTGGACACGGAGGGACAAATTCAGCCCAGCCCAGGACAAACATGCAAAAATGGCATTCAAAACGTGCACCAGCTACAGGAAAATCTGCCTCAGAGAGCCCTCCCAGGTTCCCAGAAAGGCCTGTCACTTCAACAGCTACCTACTGCCAGTCCCCCCGCTCCCAATTGCATGCCTAAGAAGGCAAACCCTGGCAACAAACCATGCAGAGAAAGTAGCTATTCCCTGGTGAGAGCTGCTCTACAAGCTGAAGATCACAAGAGAGAACAGGATGCAAGAGAAAACACAGTAAGACTGCAACGTCTTTGGGATGTGAACTTCTTGTCCACCATTCCCTAGATTTTACTGCCATGCGAGCCATGGATCCCAAAAGGGCTACAAGACCGTGTTACAGTTATCCAGGTCCTCTTAGGTAACACACTCTCTGACTAGTGGCTGGACAGTGCCTATTTTTGCATAAATAACATCCCCCAGTGAACACACAGCTGAGTGCATCCAGTGTCGGGCTCCTCTGTCCCACATCCTAAAGCCATATGCAGGAAATGCGGGAAAGATCACCCGGGGAGCGGCTGCTAGGCAGATTGAGACCAGACCAGACAAAGCAACGAGCGTTCGGAGCTGGGTGCCAACCGCTGTGCGGGGGTAAGAACTGGGTCAGGAAAATACCGCTCTGATTAAAGGCCCTGATCATACAAAGCCCAAGGCCATGTCTACACCACAGGTGCAGACACACCTGCAAGCAGGGGCCCTGTGAGTCAGCTCCAGTCTGGAAAGGCTCTGGCTTGAGTTGCTTCTGGTAACCACACTTGTACCACCCCGCAGCACTGCCCAGCTGCTGCAGGTTGCTTCTCACCGGGGGATCCGTGCTGTCTGCCCCATGTTTTACAATGCAAACACACAAACCTCACCAAATAAGCCCACCACTGGCTTCACACTTCAGGGACTTAAATAGCTGATAACTTCTTCCAACTCATTGAAAACATTTGTTCCTGACATGTCTTCTTCACCTAAAAAGTCACCGCTGGGACCTACAGCTACAGAAGGACTTCACTGCCCCTCTGGAAAGGTCAGATCCTCAAATTCTCTTCACAATTGTTGCTTTAAAGCAATCATCGCTCAAACTTTGAGAGATAAAGAGCCACAGATGTCAGCATCCACCTAGATATGGGTCAGAAACCAGGTGTTCTCCCTGCCATAGCCCATGAAACACCTCAAGGCTACCTACAGCATGCCTGCCAAAACAGAACTACAGAGCAAAGTCCCAGCTGGATTCACTAGGACTAAACCAGATGTCTCCCTGCTCAAATGTTGTTACCCTGAGATTAGAAAGTCCTTGCCTGCGTCCCAAAACTTTTCTCAGTTCCCTTCTGCAAAGCAGAGCAGCTTCAAGAGAAGGGCCTGAGAGCCTGCTCAGACCAGAGCAGCTCACAGCTTTGTCATTAGACATCATATTCTCTAGGGAAGTGGGAAACATGGGTTTTAGACACACTGCAGTCCCCAGTCACTCTTTACCACCTTAACAGATCCATGGTCCCACCCTGACACCGCCTACATACTGCACAGTGTGGGGATCTAAATGGGCTAAAATAGTGGATTTTGCTGTTAGGGTTAGGGATCTAAATCCTTCTGTGGATCTGTGTTCAGGGAATCCCCACTGCTTTCCTGCACCAAGTTCTATTCCTCCTTTCAGGCAGGAGCTAAAGTAAACTGGAGAAGGGACTTCACAAAGGCCCCAGAGCAAATCTGTGGCAAAGCCAGGAAGAGAACCCAACAAAAATCTTGGCTCCCAGTCATGTTCGTACTCCTCCTGCTTATTCTGCCTCTGCAAATTAACTGAGATATTAGGATACACCCTTTATTATACCATTGATCAGCCTTACAGCCTTTGGCTAAATGTCCCAGGCAGCCTTGGAAGGTGCAGCCAAATGAGTGATTCAGCTGGCAAAAATTCAGATGCAAGATGAGTGGTTTGCCAGGGGATGCAAAATGAGTCTCAGAGCAGGCAGATGGCTGGAGGGCAGGACTTCAGCAGGTACGTTCCCATCAACGGCACAGATGGGGCTGCTGGCTGCTATTCGGGCAGCCACAAACTATCTTCACAGCAGCAAGAGGAAAGGGACCAAATCCAGGAAGAGTTCAGATTGTAACACTCAGCACTGCCCAAAGGGAGTTCAGGAAAGGGTTGCATGAGCCATCAGGGGGACAAAGGGGCCAACCTCGGACAGATGATTCAAGAAGCCAAGTATTTCAGCTTGGCCAGGCAATGACTAAGGGAGGGATATACTGCAACTAAACAAGTTCTGGATCACACTTTTTATTATAAAGTTCCACTAATAATTGGTTCGGAAGGGGCTTGTGATACAATTAATAGAAGTTAGTAAGCATTTTAAAGTCATAAGTATTAAAAGTTACAAGTCTGAGTGCTCCATTAACCATTTTGTTACCCTTCACAGGCACTTACAAATGGAAAAATACTTTGAAGTGTGACTGTGCTGCTGAAGAGCATAAGCCTGAATAAAGGGTGCAGGAATTATTCAGACAGGAGGGGTTTCAAAGAGGAGATCACCTCATACCAAGGAAAATCTCCTTCCCAGGGACCATTGCACAACATCCGTGAAGCAACAACAATTGCTCATGCAGAAGTCACATCAGTTTAATTGTTTTGAAGAAATTTAGCAGCCAGGAGGAAGAAGAAACCTGCAGCATGTGACCAGCCACCACCCAGACTTTAGGAATCAATGAATTAGGACAAGGCACGGAGGTGGAATTAGTTCCAATGAAACCACTGTAAGGACTGGTTACAGTGAGGTAAAAAAAATTTAAAAAGAAAGTTTAGGTCAAAATTTGGAAAAAAATAGGAAAAAAATCTACTGGGTAACCAGTCCCCTAAACTAGACCCATCCACAGGAGGTCTGTTTGTCTGATAAATGGAGAAGTGCTCAAGATATAGTTGTGAGCCATCCATCGCTGATTAACAAACTCAGTGGATCTTTTTTACAGAGTCATCTCTGGCACTACCAAGAGAATCTGAATAGTCTTAACTCCTTGCAATAAGTACCCCACTGAGGCCAGAAATAATGAGATGGTTGGTACAGGTTTCTTTTCTGGGCTTTAAACTTCACAAATGGATCTAGTACACTACTACTGCAGGGCTGGTGCTTCAGCAGAAGGAATCAGTGTATGGGAAAGGATGCTTTAATTATCTAACATATAAAGTAGAGCTACTCTAGCCAGGAAAATTCAACAACACCAATTGCATCCCTCAGAAGAGTTCAAGACTATTAGCATAGAGAATTTAATAGAAACAGGTATTAGTTTGCAGCTCATTCTGAACAGCACCACCTTGTCTCCTAATGCCAAATAAATGCTGAGATTTATTTTAGCTTTGCTGTGTGATGAGAAAGGAGGAGTGTATTCCTTTCCTTGGTATAGCGGGAGGTAGTAAGAAGCACTATGCTATCCCACTAACCACAACTATAAGCATTCCAGAGCAGGTACAGTAAAAAGGAAAGACTCACAGGAAATACACAAGCACACATCCCTGTTACTACCAGCTGGCCTTCTCCTCTGGGGCACCAGCAGGACTCCGTGACCCTTAAGACAAGTTTTCATGTTATGGGAGTGAGCTAAACATAGTGGACAGGGCATCTAGGTAGGCTCAGATAGGTTCTGTACTTCATTAGCTAATTGTTGCCCTGACTTTTAAATGAAAACAGAACATCTTTCCAGTGGCCACGTGTAGGTCTGTGACCTCAGTACAAGATGCAGCAGCTGATAATTATCTTTATAACAGCTGCTGTTAAAACCAAAAACAACAACAAGACTGTCAATAATAGGAACAGAGGATGCAGGAGAGGTACTGCATCTCAGGCATGATTTTATCTTATTCTCCAGTGCTAGAGTCCCCTCTTAAGGTAGTCTCCATACACATCGATAGGTTGGTCCTACTAGTCCCCTTCAGAGGAGCCAGCATCTATCTAGAAAGCCTCTAGTCTTACATGGTCAACCTTTTCCTCAGGGTCTTCATCCTAGAAGGATAAGGAGGGAAGAAGAAATAAAGAAGTTAAAAGGAAAAGCTACAAAACTCTACACAAAACAGTATGGAAGATCGATGTGAATGGCTGGCCCGCAGCACACATTTTGCAACCTCCACTGCTTGAACAAAGTTGATCCCATTGTTGTAAGATTTTATATCCACGGTCATCTATGCATATACAAACTCTAACACTACAAAGCATGCCCTGTTTGACTACAGAGGCAGGAAAATCTGCCAGCAGTCATATCCTTGAAAGGAATATTAAAGAAGAAAAAAAAAAAAACTCAACTACAAATGAAAGTGAGAGGAGAACAAACTTAGTTCTAGTAGCATGAGAAAACCCTAATTTTTCAGTCACATAGGATGCTAGAAAGGTTTGAATGGGCAGACACTGCAACCATGCCAGAGCCCACAAAGGGCAGACCAGTCATGCTGGGGTTATACACCACAGCAGGTTGCACCCCTGTTTTCAGGAACCACTGTTTCTCAGACCAAAGTCAGATCCTCCCCTGGGAGCAGGAGCTGTAGCCGTTAGCTTAAGTTAGCCTTAGCTGACAATAGCATTGTGTAAGTGCACGAACTTCAGTTAACCCCATTGTATAAGGGAGCAGCTTAGTTGTGGAGCAGATGAGTAACTGCAGTAAAGCAGCCTGTTAATCACTGCGAAACTTGTGAGCTGGTTGAGAACCTTTCTGAGGAGCAGACCGCCAGAACCAGCAGCAGCAACCACTTGTTAGGCACCAAATACAAGGAGGAGGCAATTAAGAATCGGGTAATCTTTACATAATCCTACAATAATAGCATTCAGAATCATTCAGGGAGAGACTATAATGCATCCCATGACCTTGCACCAGAACTACACACAGCATGGCTGGAACCACTATGCTAACCCAGCTTTCTTCTGTACTGCATCATCTCTCCTCCGGAACAGGGAAATCATGCAATTTACTAATTCCACGTTTCTCTGATTCAAGTGTTTTGGTATTTGAGTTCACTTGGTCTCTGTGCTGTCATTTGGTCCTATGGTCTTACTGTGACAAGAACAGAGGGAGGCTACATGCAGATTAGGGCAGCAGGGGTACAGAAGTGTCTGTATCAGTGAGCACCTAACTGGTAAAATCTGTCAGAACTGTGTATCTATCAACCAGGGACCCCTGATTCTCAGACCTGAGAGCCAAAAGGCTTCTGCAGGGCCCAACATGACCAAAACTTCTCTGGATGTACAGATCCCAGGCAGTACAGGACTCACAGTCACACTGAAGGAAATCCAGCTGGACAACACATGTTGAAAAAGCATTTAAATAAAAACATTTAAATAACCACCTATTTGAGCAATCTTCCATCTGGATTTCACCCTCAGCAACTGCTGTGTAGTTGTTTGTTCACTTGGGTTAGATAACCAGAGTGCTATTTAAATGCAGCTTGGATGTCAGCCTCAGGAACATGGCCAGAAGTCACTACCACGAATATCTGTAAGCTGGGTGGTAGAAATCCAAATAGTTTCTCTGCAAAAGTCACCTGTGGGAACATCCTTCCAACGTGCAGTGGAATCAGCTCAAGCTTTTGTCTGTCTGCATGAACCTTGCCTATATTTTTGCAGCACAGAAATACTCATTTTTAGCTATCAAACACAGACCAGAACCGTATAAGCAGGCTTAAAGATATCAGGTAGGACAATAAGTGAAGAACATACTTCCAGGAGTGAGAGCACAGAGACTTTCCACAGGGCTTGGTGAAGCACGTGGAAGAAGACCATTGGGAATTATAATGATTTTGAACAAATCCTGTTGAAATCCTGGAAGTCCTACCTGTATGGAGATACTCTCAGCATAGCCTGGAAAACCCTCATCCTTTGGGCTGGTACACTGCCTGTTAAAAGCAGAGGATCTACAAAGTGCTGCCAGAGGGACATCAACAACACCATGTTGAATGCATAAGAGACAGAAACCCAAGGAAGTCTTGAACAAAGTCCCAAAAGAATCTCGTCACTGTAGGATAAAAAGAAAGCTGACTCTGGAAGCAGGATAATGTGAAAATCTTTTTGCATGCTGATTTCTTATGGAACAACAAATAGTTCACTCTTGCTGAGAGGAGACACAGAAAAGGAAAAAATTGCTGATATAGTTAAATGAAAGGGTTTTCCACTCAGCTTTCCAAATCAATCTCATCATGAACTCCAAACCTGGCTGAACAACTTCTTTTGGTGGATGTCATCAAGCCAGCATTCACGCTGTTGGACATAGTAATGCTAGAGCCAGGAAAAAGGTTTGACTTTTATTCTAGACAAGCCTCCAGAAGCCCTGGTAGAATGCGAGAGCAAAGATCTTCAATAGATCTCATTATGTGATCTGCCCCTCCCATTATACAAATAACATGGCCAGCTTGAGTCTGTCTGATTTTGTCAGAAACCCGATAGCATCAAGATGAGTGAAATGTAACACAGCAAGCCAAGGGATGGGAAAGGCCTCCCGATGGAAAAATGGCTATATTACCCCTCTGAAAATGAATGTTTGAAATGCAGAGTTCTGGCATGCTGCTAGCAGATTTATCTCTAGGAATTCCCATTTACGGCATATTCCCCAGGGTGCCCAAGAAGTGCCTGCTAATTTGCCAAGGAGCTGTAAAGGCCAGGAACACGCACAGCCATTGTTGCAGGAGGATGCTGACTGCACCAATTACAGCAAATAATCATGTTCCTTCTTGCCTCTTGAAATAATACATAGCTGCAATGTTGTTTGTTAGTACTTGTACTTCTGAAAAGGCAGGAATGCTCTGCGTGTCAGTGGCAGGCTACGAGCTTTCTGACACTGAGCTCTTTGAGGAGCCAGAGGTCTGAATTTGAAGGTAACGCAGATGCTTTCCCACAGGAATGGGAATTATCAAATAGAGATTTGGGCAGAGGAACCATAGAGGTACCCCTACAGTTAAGAAATTTATTGTGGGAGAGTAAACACCATATATATTCAACAGACATTCAAAAGAGTTAAAAAATATTATATTTTTATAGAGGCTGGGGGACATATAGCCTGCTACAAGGCACAAGAGATTGCAGCTGTGCCCTAGAAAAAAGGTTTTCACAACACAATTATGAAAGACGACAGACAGGTGATGAGATGTACCATTGTTTGGGGTCTCTTTTGGAAGAGAGTCCAGGTCAACAAGAAATCAGCAGTAATCCGATAAGATCTAAACTCCAAGTCAGAATATTTGCATATTGACTTGAAAAACAAAGATCTTTTTAATTATGTTAAATGAGTTGTTCACACCTCAAAGTGATTTCCTTGTAATAAGCCCAAATGTTGAAATGCAGATAGACAGACAGGTACTTTCTGCTTCCTTCAAGCAAGTTGCTCTGACTGGAAAACACATCCAGGATGGGTCTCACTGTCAAGAAAAGACCAGAACATTAAGACAAATGAGATGTTCATATCAAAAGCTTGAGCTAAGTGGAAGCTGAGTGGATTGACATGAAAATATAAAAAAAGAAGTCAAGATGAATCTTAAAACAGTTTTAAAACCCTGAAGAACAACCAAGAACTGAATCACTATCCTGAATATGAAACTGCCCATGAAGGTGTCAATAGGCAAAGGTTTAGGACAAATCTCTTTGTTTTCAAAATCACTAATAGGAATAAAACCTCCTGTTATTAAATTAATTACTGGCCACTATGGCCAGTTCTAGTAAAAAGCATGGGTTTTATTTATTTTGAGTTTCTTTTGGGAAGGTTCCTTGAAAAGGTTTCAGGATAACTGCATGAGACGTCCATTGTAATGACTGCCCCCACCAGTTGGAGGCAAGCCAAGGCCAAGCTTCCAGAAAAGTGAAAGGTGGCTGCCAACCTAGCGTGAAGGAAAATGCAAGCTTAGATCTATTAAATGCTCGTTTTGATATCAAATATGACTGTGTATGAAAGGCCTCCAATTCTGAAGCAAAGGAAAAGGCTGAGGTTTATACACAGTAGATTTTGTCTCTTCTCCAGTAGCTCCAAGGTTTCCAGTTAACAGCAACACTTCGCAACAAAGAGCTGTCTGAAGGGAGAATATTGACACAAACATTTCTTCCTGGTGGTTAAGATCCAGTAATAACATATTTGAATCGTTTAAGGCGTGGAAGGCCTCACCCTTCTGCTGCTGAAAAGCTCACTGCCTTCGGTCAGAAGATTCTAACTATTTCTTAGTCCTCTCCAGGGATGCCCAAGGACTGGAGCTGTTATGATCTCTTCACAGCTATTAGGATGGCTGTGATGTGAGACGCACCAAGTAAAACTGCAGTAATGTACAGTCAGTCAGTACCCCTACAACACGCCTTGGTCACTTTCTAACCAGGGAATCAGTCCATAAATGAGGATGGGCAGTTCCAGCAGAGAACAACCTGACTGAGCTGCCTTCATCTGGAGGTTAACCAAGGTTAACACCCACGTGCAGCACCAGCTATTTTCTTCAAGGCTTTCTTTACCTATGGGCCCCATTGCTATTTTGATTTCTAAATTACAAAAGATCCTACTACTAGGTGTAGATAAAGAGCTCCATTTGCTTTGCACAGACCTGACATTTCCTATCAGGCCTTTCCAGCGCTGCAAGGACAGATGGAAGAAAGCACAGGCAAAACCATCTACTGTTAGGGCCCGTGTGCCTTGCTTAACAGGAGTTTCACGGAGCTCACTGATGAAGCACAGAGCCTGACCAGGGGAACACCTGAACTTCTGCGAAGGTATATTCAACTTCTTACTATGCAGGAGCTAAAATTTTAGAATAATTTCTGCTAGTCACATGAAACAGCCAGGATGAGGCTGGGCATCACATCTAGGCAAGTATCAGTTATTCCACTTACTGTGAGTGCTCTTCCTCATTCTCTAGTACCCACAACTGTGCCAAAAGGAGTTGGTTTGATTTGCCTGTAGAAAGGGATTTAACCCCAGAAACCAGAGCACTCCATTTTTGCTAACGTGGCAGAGAACTGCTATATCAAAGGGGATGCACTCTGCAGAGTTTAGGTGACCTCTGAGCATGGGCCTTTCACTCCTTCCAGAAACTCCCTCACAGAGTTCCTCCTGAGCTCCTAATATGATTGGGGAAGACAAGTGCATAGGTGGGAGGAGATGATTCTCTGTTATGCCTATTAGAAGAAAAAACAGCATACTCTCTCCAGTGGGGAATAAAAAAAGCTACATGAGGTGTAATTGTAAGAGGACCTGTAACAGTGTGTTTTCAGCAGCATAGCAGGGACTCCAGGGAAACAACCCCTAGAAACACATTTTGGCACACATGACTGGGATGCAGCTACTCAACCTGAGAGTTTTGTCATGACACAGAGCATCAGAGCAGTAGCCACTCCTAAAACAGCTTGTCCCAGGGCTGCAAGCACAGAAGCTTCAAGTACAGTTGGTGCCAGGGTAGTCAGCAGGGCAAAGTGGTTTTGCAGTTCAAAGAAACCAACAATGCAATATGTTGGAGAACACTGCTGGTATTGCAAAAAGCTAAGGATTATCTCACTTAAACAAATGCCACTGCCAACGTGCTGGAAGTCTGATGACCCTTTTATCCATTTGAAGGTGTAAGGGAAAACGTCTGACCGTCATTTCCTGACAGATAGATGCTCCTTTCAGCAGGAGATGCCTGTGGAGAGCAACAGAGAGCAAACTTCCAGGGTTTAAGGATTCTGCAGCATTAAGCAAGAAAGTGAATCAAAAGGGTTCAGATCTTATCTTTCTGGGTATTCTAGGATGTTGCTTCACCCTCCTGTGAAAGAGGGGTTCTTTACAGCCTGCTGTTTTCCAAAGAGGCGCTGACAGAACAGAACCTGAACACAAGTCTTTCTCCAGAGCCAAGCGGGAACCGAGTTTGCACATGACTGCCCATGAGACAAAGTCTCATGCTGCGAAGCTGGCTTCTAGCATGATCTTTGTGGCTGTGCATGGATGGAAGGAAAAATAATGTTGCTGTACAAACCTGATGGTGACCACCAGGAGCTGTACTCTAGGTCTAGCAAAAGCGAAGTTCAAAGGAAAGGCATTGGCTCACCTGTACTCTGCCTCACTACCATGGATGGTGGTAGTAATCACCAAGAAGGCAAAAGTGGTAACAAAGCAATCACTCTGCTCTTATTTTGATACCCATAGGAGATATGTAGGGGATGGAGAGGCCCCAGGGCTGCTTGGTGCAACTCTCCATGCGTCTGAGAAACCACAGCCGCAGGGAAGAGCCTGTGTGGAAGGCAGCAGGGGGAAGGGGCAGGGCTGCCTCTTGGGTGCTGACTCAGGATAAACTCCACCGGGCAAAGCACCCCGTGGGGGAGACTCCCCGTGGGGCCGGGTCGGGGCCGGCAGACACCCCCGGTTGCACGGGGAGGGGGCCACCCACCTCTCCGGCAGACGCAGAGGAGGAACTCTTCCTGCTGCCGCTCTCAGCGGGGGGGAGCTCCTGGCGTGCCCTGCGGCCCATCCTCGGCACCTGCGGCAGAGAGGGGAGGAGCACACGGTTACCCACGGGGCAGCTCGGGCCCAAGGGGCCGCTCCCAGCCCCGGCCCCGCTCACCCCCGGCCGGCGCGGCGCCGCCGCCCGCTGCCGCTCGGCCTCCATCCGCCGCCGCCGCCGGGGTTTCCGGCCCGGGCCGCCCCGCCCCGCCGGCCTCCCACCGGCCTCCAACCGGCACCGCAGCCCCGTAGCCGGCTGTGCGAAATCATCACTTTACAGATATTCGGCTCTGTTTTGATTATACGCGTTCGGGTGCCCGTGGGTGGAGCGGGCGCTGCTCCCCCAGCCCTGTGTTTTACCACACGGGAATGTGGCCCCGCATCCCCAGGCCAGACTGCAGCCCTGGTTTGTACAAGCAACTGTGGGATGTGTGAGTGAAGGTGTGCCATCACAACTGGCTTCTTGCTCAGCAAATGGCACCTGAGCAGCGTGATTGTACCCACAGCAACGTCTGCTAAAGCAGCAGGCCCTGGGCAGTTGGGACCCCAAACTGGTGGCTGGTGGGGTGCTGCTACCAGAGGAAGGGCAGGAACAGAGGAGGCTGCCGCCTCGAGCTGACAGATCACAAAACAGCAGGACCCATGGGTTGGCTCATCCCGAATTGTCCCTTCCCAGCCCTCTCCTCGAGATCTCTCCCTGGTCCCCACCCCAGGCATGACCCCACCAGCACACCCCAGCCCCTCCCAGAGACGCGGGGTGCTGCCCACTGCAGGGACACCAGCCTCAGGCTGACTGAAGGAGGGTGATGGAAACAGGCCACACGCGGGAAAGAAAACAACTGAGCAGTAGCAGAACTGAGCCTTGCCCCAGAACTTTGACTTGTGACTTCAGAAATCCTCCCTGGGAGAGAAGAGCAGATATGTCGAAAGAATGAAGCCTAAAATCCGTCCTGCCCTGCTCCTCTCCGTGTTCCCACACAGACACATCCACTCCTCCGAATGGGCTTTGTCATCCGTGCTGATACGTTTTTGCCTGCTTGGGGGAGGCAACAGAGGAGAAAGAGTTTTCATCCCTCGTTCTGTGCTGTGGTTAAAATGGGTCTTACTTGCTTTAAATGTTGGTGTCACTCATTCTGAGCAGCATAATTCCCCCCTGTGTTTGATCCTGGACCTAGACCAGCCCCTACTCAACCAAGAAGGAGAAAGAATGAACAGGACAAACCTCTGTTCCTTCCGTGGCTGTCTAAAACCACCTTCTGCACTTGCTTTTTGTTCAGCTTAGGTCTGTGGTGGCTGGGTTTCTCTTTTCCAGTGTATTCTCAACTCTCACCCTGCCTTACTTGTTCGGTTTTGTCCCCGCTATAAATCAAAGTGCAGCCACCCCCTCTGCTCTGAACAGCAAGAACTACGTAAGCATTCCTTTCACATACAAGTTCTCACACCTAAGCATGGACTCCATCCATCTGGTTTCAACCCAAATCCAATCACACAGAATAGGACTAACAGAGTCCCCCGCTAGCACCGTTTGCTGTTGATTACTTCTTGCCTGGACCTATGAATAGAGCTTGTGTCTAGTCCTCCTTCTGCCTCAGAGAAAGCCTGGAGAGCCTGGGAAAGCAATCACGCCTGAGCATTGCCACATGCTTCTGGTCCTAGACCACTTTTAAAGCAAGTGCATACACGTGCAGTTAAAGCTAGAGCCATGGTGGAAAGCCCACATGGTAGCACTACAGTGGGAGCGAACAATGACAACCTTATTCAGAGCAGCTAAAGGTTTCGTCAAGCAGCTCGCAGTCAGCTGCAGAATTTATGGGATGCAGGGCACCCCTAGGAGCAAGCAGTGACACAGAGCGCTGCGCCTTTCTTCCTCACTCTTCGCACAAGGTGGCCAGCCAGACTCCTAGTTTTGGCACAGGACAGTTCACCCTAAATGTTAAGCTCCCACTGGGAAGCAAAGAGCCAAGCAAACGGTAGCTTGCTCCATCCTAGCACCACCCTAGCAGCTCCAAGCACCTCACTTTGTTTGTTTGGGTTTTTTTTTGCATTTTTTTCTCTAAGCACTTGAAAATACGTACTCCATCTCTCAGGGTTTTTGGTGGAGGGGAAAAACTATGAATATTCTGTTACTCACACAGGTTCTGGGCCAGTATATCCTACTGTTGTGAAGCTTCAAAAATGAGATTCCTCCCTCTGAAAGGAGAGAAAAGGCCCATGCTTTCACCTGTCTTGATTTCCACGAGAACAGCCGCTGTTCGAGTTACATCAGCCCCAGCTCAGACTGACAAACCCCCGGCAGGGTTGCCAAGTGTGAAATATTTCCTCCGATACTCACGTGCTCAGTAGCCCTGTCAGGCTCTCCCTCAGCCCAGCTGGATCCCAGCACATCCAAGATGTGCAAACTGTTGGCGATTGCTCTTTGCAGCCACCAGCAGTGGTTCCAGTGTGTGTCGGACCATGGAGCTTCTTTTCCACCTCCTCACAACCTACAAAGACCAACACAGTGAGCAGGAAGTGAGCGGCCTGATACTGGAACCGGCACTGCTCCCACATCCTTCTTCTGTGCTACTGTTCCCAAGCAGTAAGACCCCACTGTCAATCCGCAAGGGCAAAGTCAGCTCGCAGCCATTAGCAGCATAATCTCGCATTTTCTGCTATTGAATGTCATCCCATTTTTTCCATCTCAGCCATCAGAATTACCACCCCCTCCTGTAGGATATCCCAGTCCTCCCCTGTATTGACAAAGCCTCCCGACTTTGGACAAACAGCCAATTTCATTAGCACATTCATTTCAGCGTGCCAAGATCATTAATGAAAACTGGGCCCAGGACCAGCCATTGGGGAGCTCCTTTCATAATCTCTTATAATTCCTGCACTTATCTCCATCTTAACTAATAACTCACCATGTGGCACTGGAGCAAATGGATTGCTGCAGTGCAAAGCAATCAGTTCTACCTCATTTAGCAACGTAACGCGTTGGATAGAGGAGTTCCCAGAGTGGAGAAGCATCCAGAATTCATCTCAGAAGCATCTCATGAGCACTAGAAACATCCATCCCCATCCCCATCCCACGGACAGTTAACGGCAGTGCTCAGAATTTGCAGTCTTGGTTTCCCTGCAGTCACTTTGGAGCCACCAGACCTTGTTCCACCTTCGTCTGCTCGGTCTTCTGAGGAACTGTTTTCACAAATTGACCTTCCCCAAAGCACAGACAAGCCATGTCCAGCTCGCCCTTCAGTCTCCTCTCTGAAGGGTCACACAGCCTGCGTGTGAACGCTGCTCAAACCCAGCGCTCCCAGCCACCCCGTGGATTTCCACCGCACCTCTTCCACACTCGGTGTCTCCACCCGGAGCTGTGCTCCCCACACAGCAGGACCCCAGGCATGCCCTGGTGTTTCCAGCCCCGCACCTTCACAACTCACCCCCCAGCTTCTTTGGGAAGGCAGCCAGTGGGCACGAAGCCCCTGACCCACCCCAAATCCCCAGACCTCTCATCCCCAGGAGGTCCCCAAGCGAAGGTGAGGCCAAGGGACACATCCCACCTCCCGGAGAGGCCCCATGGAGCAGGAGCAGAGGACGGACGAGTTCTCTGGGCAGCCCCAGGGTGGGCAGGGGGCCAACATTTTGTCTCCTGGCCCCCTTCGGAGAGCGGCGGGGCAGGTGCTGGGGGCTGCCACCCCCGGGCAAGACGCCGCACCGGGGAGCTCGGGGGGGCGCTTTCGGCTGCTTTTCCCTCGGTTAACGGGAGCGGCGCCCCCGGGGACCACCGCGAAGGGCTCGGCCCGGCCGCTCCCCGCCCGGCTCCAGCGGGGGGCGCCCGAACTCCGCCGCCGCGGCTTCTGCGGCGGCCACGTCGGAGGGCGCCCGGTGCCGCCCCACCGCCGGGGGGCCCGGCCGCGGGGCTCGGGGTGGGGGGGGTGCCCGGTGCCACCGGCCGCGCGGGGGGCCCCGACGGGCGGCGGTCGGGGTGGGGGGCGGCGGAGGGCGGCCGGGCGGGGAGCGCCGTAGCCGCGGTGCTGCGGGCGAAGGCCGGGCTTGGAGCTCCCCCCCCGGTGCCCCGTCCCGGGGACGTCATGGGAGGGAGGTATAAAACGGCGGCGGCGAGGCCGGCGGAGGGGCAGTGCGCGGCGGAGGGCAGGCCGGGGGACAGCGGGGGCAGCCCGGCCGCTGCTGGTGCCGCCGGTGCCGGTGCCGCCGGGGCGATGCCGGTGGCGGCGGGGGCATGAATGGTGCAGCGAGAGGGGCGGGCGCCGCTCTCCCCCCGCGGCGGCGGCGGCGGCGGCGGGGCGGCTCGGGCCGCTGCTGCTGCTGCTGCTGCTGCTGCTGCTGCTGACACGTGCGGCGGCGCGGCGCGGCGGGGCGCTCCCGGCTCCGCGGGGCGCGGGGCGGCGCATGGGGAAGGAGCCCGGCGCGGCGAGGCACGGCGCCCGCCGCCGCTTCTCCTCGCGGAGCGCTGCCAGCTCTTCCTGGAAGTCGTGAGCGGCGCTCGGCGCGGTGAGTTCATGCACCTCCTCGCCAAGCCTCAGCCCGCGGGATCTGGGGAGGCTGCCGCCGGAGCACCGCCCGGTCCCCCGCGCCCGCTCGCCGCCGCCGCCGCCGCCCGGGGGGCTCTCCCGGGGGCCGCCGCCGCCCCCTCGCCCATGAAGATGTACGTGCAAAGGGCTCTGGTGCTGCTCTCGCTGCTGAGCTTCGCCACCGTGAGCCTCGCGCTGTCCTCCTGCACCACCTTGGACCTCGACCACATCAAGAAGAAGCGGGTGGAAGCCATTCGGGGGCAGATCCTGAGCAAGCTGCGGCTCACCAGCCCCCCGGAGACCGTGGGGCCGGCTCATGTGCCCTACCAGATCCTGGCCCTCTACAACAGCACCCGGGAGCTGCTGGAGGAGATGGAGGAGGAGAAGGAGGAGAGCTGCTCGCAGGACAACACCGAGTCCGAATACTATGCCAAAGAGATCCATAAATTTGACATGATCCAGGGCCTCCCCGAGCACAGTAAGTGCCGGGCTCCCGTGCGCTCCGGCCCGGCGCGGGGTGCCGCGCCCGGGGGCAGCCTGCCCCGCCGCACCGGGAGCCGAGGAGCGGCGCCCGCCGGGGATCCGGAGCATCGGGGCCGGGGCCGGGGTCCCGGAGGGGCTGGGGTGCGGGG